ATTATGATCATGTTAAGAAAATTTAAGTTTTATATTGTTATTGGAATAATTAATAGTTTTTTGATCTGAAAATTAATTGTATAATTAATTTTTTAACGTTAATATTTACATTTTTTTTCCGTAATTCCTCCTTCATATTTGTATTTTATTAAAATACTTTATTACTATCATTTATCTTGACCCGCAGATCTTATGTTGAACCCGCTACCCCAACCCAAATCTCATTATACCCGCGCTTCACATATTTAAATGGTTGTTGGTTTGGATGAAAAAATCATTTGAAAATACACGCCACTTATGGGTCATGTACTTTAAATCAATAAACCAAACCCAAGGGCAACCCTTGGAAAAAATCGACATATTAGTGATTCAACCAACTCCATCACTTAATTCCTTTAAAATATAGATCACTACTAAAGCCAAATCAACAGGTTAGGGCTAGGCACTTCAATAAAATTACCAATTTACTTGAACAAAAGATTTTAGGTAATAATAGTTTTGGTAAATTGAATACAACGGTAAACACATCTGTAATTTTTTAAAACTAACCCCCCCATCGTAAATGGTAAATGGCTTCGGTACAAATACTCAAAAAAAAATTCTGGAAAGCTCTCCCGACTTACTACTTCCCATTCAAAGCAGATCGTTCTTTAATAATTTCTTTTGAAATAATAGTCACGCTTATTATGGTCCAGGTCAATGTTAAATTGTAAACTGACTTAAAATTGGAAAGATCAGAAATATCGGGTCGTATAATTGACATATTTCAATATTGGAAACAAGCAACTTGTTATTTAGTTCTCCTCGTATGAAAAAAAACCCTAGCTGTCTCTCTCCTTTACTCCTCTCCTCCTCTTTTTTTTCTTTCCTTTTAGACTTTTATTTTTCAAATCATCCTCTAATCGTCTTCCTTCTGGTCGACGGTGAATTTTTCTTTTTCGCTCCTCTTGCATTGTCTGTCTTTATTTTAATTTACGTGTTCCTTCCTAATCACCTTATATCCCGTGTGGAACCAAAACTTGATTTAGCCTCTTAGAACGGAACTGAATGTTCAACAAACATAGTCCAAATGTTACTTTTCCAACCCAAATCCCAGTATTTGTAAATCTAACAAATACAAAAAAAATGAGCATCAATAAATGGAAAAGGAAGCCATTTCGTTGTATATCAACCACATATACAGTCTGACAAATTCACCCATGTTTTGGTGTCGAAAATCTTTGACTTCGGTTGGGTTTTAAAGATAATATAATGAGTTAGGTTGGGCGCGTTCAATCTCTTATAATTTTTCGGTTCAGTTGATTAACCGAGTTCACTTCTAGATAAATATCCGCAAACCCGTCCACCCATAAACTGAAGTCACATGTAAAATAAATAGTAATATGATTTACTTTAGTTTTAACTTTAGATGTTGATTTTACCAATTCGCAAATAACGTACTAAATTACAAAACATTTTTTCAGTAATATTGCCTTTTAAATTATTGCCTTTTTTCATTGGTATAACTTGTTTTCAAAATCTGTTGCTATTTTGAGCATATTGTAGTTTACAAACCACCTATTGTATAATTATGTTATTAGTATTTTTTAATTTTACTAGGGTGTCTTTTTATTAAGAAAACTTATTTTTCTTATTGTTTGATTATCGATATGATTATGATGAATGATAATTAACTGATTCAATGTTAAGAAATTTAAAGTTAATAATGGTTATTGAATTATACTTTTATAGTTCTGTGCAAATTATTGCATAATTAAATTTTAAGTATATTTAATTTTTCCAGTAATTCTTCTTCAATATTTGTATTTTTCTATTAAAATACTCTTAATTCATTATATTTAATTTGACCCGTAGATTTCATATTGAACCGTATCCCACCACCCCATCTTTGTTTCATATGACCTGGGGCTTTCAACGGCTATTTAAATAGGTTTTGGAGTTGGATCAAAAACAATTAAATTCGAAGACCCCGCACATATGGGCATCACATTTTTTAAATCAATAAAATCCCAACCCAAGTGGCAACTCTTGCGAAAAATGGACATATTAGTATATTCAACAACCCATACCTTATCTTTTTAAATATAGATCACGTCATAAGTCAATCAAAGGTAACAGGGCTAGGCAAACTTCAATATAATCTATAAATTTTACTCGAACTAAGGTTCTATTCGGTAAAATTTAGTTTAGTAAATCGGTAAACAGTAAACAATCTGCAATTTTTTTAAAACCAGAAATTTCGGTTAAATTGGTTTCCAATAAGGTACTAAAAACTTTGGAAAATTCTCGACTTATTTGCCTCCATTTTACAGCGGTGTCCTTTTTCATATATTTCATTTGAAAAAAGTCAACCCTTAATATGGGTCGATGTCAATCGTTAAGTTGTAATCCTTAAACTAGAAAGATCCAGAATATCCGGGTCGTATTTCAAATTGACAATCTTTTCATATTTGGAAACCAAACAATTATCATATTAGTTCTCCTCGTCATGAAAAAAAGCACTTTCTAGTCGTCTCTCTCCTTGACAATCCTCGCTCTTTTTGTTTCCTTTTAGATCTTATTTTTTAAAAATCACACCCTCTACCGTCTTCTTTTTTGGTCGGCCGTGGGATTTTTTTTTTTTTTTTTTTGTCCCTTGTTGCCATAGTCTTTCTTTTATTTTTATTTGGTTTTCCTTCTAATACAAATTTTTAAACCTATGAACCGTGTGTGGAGCCGCTTGGAATTTAGTCTCTCGGACTAAACTAAAAATGTTCACACACTACAACTGTTAATTTTCAAACCAAATCCAATAATTGTAATCTAAACAATTAAACAATGAGCATAATAATGGAAAATGCAAGCTATTTCTTGTATATATCAACCAATAACTACATCTGCAACTAATTCTCCAACCCATGTTTTGATATTGAAACATCCTTATCGACTATGAATGTATAACAAGGATCGCCTACGCAAACAAGGATGGTGATAATTGCAAGTAACTATTTCTGAACTGAACCCGCATGTAAAGATACTGAACAGCATTGGCTCGAACCCTATCTCAGACTATTTAAACATTAATTTCAATCCGTTTTTAAAAAAATTGGGAAGATATGTCACAAACATCAAAGTGCAAAATCGGGTTATGCTTTAAATCTGTCATCTTTAAATAAAGTAACGCATATAATCAGATCGTGTTAAATTTATTATTCCTTAAATGGAAGACGAACAATATTAATACTTTGAAAAACGGTCAATACTTTCTATTTTTAAAAATAAAGGTCCATTAATGGTCAATTGGGACTATAACTTAGTAATTTTTATTTTTCCCTAAAAGAATCATATGAAAGCAAAGAAATGTCCCCAAATTATGGCATGAGCCCCAGTTCCTTAAAAAGGGAAGCCTAGTAAAACTAAAGCATCGCCGATTTTGGAGAGCAGAGAAAACCATGCCAAGCTCATATCCTTCTTCCTCCTTCTCTCACTCTCCGCACTTAACACTCATCCACTTTCGCTTCAAAATGGTTTTTTTTTCCAATAAAACTATTGTGTTTTTGAGATAGATGTCGAAACCATTCGCAATCACAGCTATCTGGCGAATTGTTCGCCTCCCCGATTCCTGGTGACTCGGAAATGAACAATCGGTTGCTAGTTGATTCATGAGAATAAAACACGCGGGCGGGGAACCAACGCCAGAAACGTGCTCTCTACAATCCTATCCAAGGTCGTATATATATATATATATATCATATTGTTTTCTTATTAATTTTATTTTTAATGTACAATTCTTTTTTTTTTTTTTTTTTTTTTATCTCGCTGTCTTTTTGTTGGTAGTTTTTAAATTTGTTTTTGTCTGCTCATTTTGTTAGAACCGAATACTTTGTTTAAGTATTTTGAATATCCATTAAAGAATGTTTAAGTTCTGCAAGGTGAAACGCTTTTTTTTCTTTTTTTTTTTATTTGGCATGTTGAAATTTGCTTTTTTTTTTTTTTTTTTATTTGCATGTTGAATTGCATTTTTTAAAATTAAGATTTTAATGCGTTCTATATATGTACAATGAACTGCATTAGTGTTTGACAACATCTGATATCTGTTTGGTTAGCATGTATGTGTTTTTCAGTTTTAGATTTTGAATTATATTGCTTATCTAATTTGTAAATTAGGAGTGATAGGGGACTTGCACTGAATCTTAGGCTTTGTTTGGTAAGCCGTAATTGAATGTAATCGAATAAAATTCTGGTCTAATTTTACAGTAGAAATGCATTTTATTACTTAGAGCTCACCAAACTGAATCTTAGGTTTTTGTTTTGATGGTGTAATCAAATGTTGTGCAGAAAATTAATCTTATCGCTGCTACTGTTGTATTGGTTTAGTATCAAACTCTGGAAATATACCAAGGGAGAGTTAATGGTGTAAACAAATATGTGTCATAAGTCTTCTCCTAGGTATCATATTTAATGCTCAAAGATTTTCATTTTGATAAAAATTGATAGAAACTGAGTGGGTTGTTGTCACTTTGAATCAATAGCTTCTATTTAATAGATTATTTTAAATACTGTTGTGTTTATGGTTCTACATATGATTTCTTAGTCGAATGTTGGCTACATAATGTGATATGAGTTATATTCAAGCAGCATGTTTGTTAGTCCTGTTTCTGGATCGAGTATTGTTTAACAATCAGTGCTGTTTCAAATATAATAGAAGTTAGAAAAGTTTATAATGATACAGGAAATGGTTGAGCTATTACCTTGGACGAATGGTGGTAATGCTTGAAAACTAATGTACAAGAACTTTGAAATATGAAGAAAACAGGGAAATGATTGTGAAAAGCCAAAAACCAAATACAATTCACCAGTTGATTGAAAGCAAAATGCAAAATACAAAAATCAAGTAAAGCAGGTGTAAAAATGTCACTGCCTATTTTGTTTTCATGCAAAAGCTTGTCTTTGACGTGCAGACTTATGGCTTGATCTTATTTGTTTAGTAACCATTCAATATTTTCTAATTATTCCAAACATTCATTTTTCACTTTTTTCATGCTCCAGAATAGGGCAGTTCGTGGAGATCTGGCACCATTATTATGGCATTCTTTTGGTACTATCACTACACTGCTACAGGTATAAAATATTGCTTTCCTATACCAAATGCTTTTTCCAATTAATGGTTTCTTTGTATATCCACTAATAACTTATTCGTTACAGGAAATAATTTCAGTGTACCACTTACTGTCTTCTCCATACCTTACAGACAAAGCATCAAATAAAGTGTGCAATGCACTTGTTTTACTTCAGGTTGTTTTTTTATCTTCATCATCTTCTAATTTTTGTTTTATTCTGCTTTCTTGGTTTGTCTTAAATGCTTATTGTAAAACTTAGGTAACAATGCTGCAGATGTTATGCATGCAATTCTCTAGTTAATTAGCAAATAATGAGTACCTTGTCAACAGAAGGTGAATTATGGCATCAGTTCACTTGCTAATTTTTATTTGATATGTTGTTTGTACCGGAATGGATAAGTTTGTGTTTGGCATCTTGCATTTTGAATGGTTTCACTCTCATGTTTGGTTTTAAAATTGACAAGTGATTAACCCAAAGTATGCTATGAAATTGAATTTCTAATTTTCATATATTATTTGTCTCTAATAACTAAATTATCTATTTTCTCAAAGGAAATAAAAGTAAAAAAAAAATGAAAAGTATTGTACAGAAGGTTGAGATCATTTAGTACTGTTGTCAATTTGTCAGATCCAAAGTGGTATTCTGATTAGATGAATGAGCTTTTTATTGTACATGAAACTGCTCCAAGCACTGATACTTGAATATGTTTGCTTTGCTATGAGTATGAATTCAGCTTGGTATGCCGGTTATATAATTATTAGCCCAGGTACAAGCACATATTAAGCTTAAAGGTAATATATGAACAAATAAGCAGCTTAAAGGAATTTTTGCTAGGAATAAAAAATCAATTTGATAACTAGTTTCAAAATCAAGGGAATGGAACAAATTGGAAGTAGATATGTAACTGATGATTTTTTTTTTCCCTTCTCTTTTCTTTTTAAGGCAATAAAGAAAGGGTTTTTACAACTTAAGCTACATAAATGGAGGTTTTTGTATATTCATCATTGTCTACAGCTAAAAAGAAAAAATTAATAAGATGCTACTAAGCTTATCGCTTCATAATAGAAGCTTCCAATTGGTATTGGTGATTGTTGTTCGTTTCTCATATTCTTTATGGCTGGAAATGTATTTCTTTTGAAGTATTTCATTTGTAAATTAGGACAATTTTTCTTTCTTCAGGGGATAGCAGCACACCCAGACACAAAGATGCTTTTTATTAAGGGTAAATTTTCTTTCTCTAATCTTTCACACATGCAAGGAAACTACAGCTTGGATTTTGAGGATTTTTAATTATTTTTCTTCCTCCCTTGTCCCTATTTTTATATGTTTTACCCTATGGGCAACTGATTTATAGCTTGGTATCTTTTGGGTTTTCTGGACTACCTGAACTTGCCATCTCAGATAAATTAATTTCTAAAGTAGTTTTCTTGAAAAGTTTTATGGGTATAAGTTCGTGATTTCTTATATTTTGAGAAGAATGAATTCTCTAATAGGTTTAATAGATCATTAGCTTTCCAAATCTTGCACTGTATTTGATGTCTTTCCCAATGAAAATTCATCATATAGTGCTCGATTGTTTACTTATTAGAAATTGAAAGCTTCTATTTGTTGATGTTTTGGATAATGAAAGATACTTACAATTGAATTCCATGCTTTGCAGCTAAAATACCTTTGTATCTCACTGCCTTTCTTAACAACACAAACAAGGAAAAGTCTCATGAGTTTTTAAGACTTAGCAGTTTAGGAGTTATTGGTGCACTTGTGAAGGTAATGTTTTACTGCCTCACTTAAACTTAGAAAGCCATCTCCCTATGCTCTTTAATAACATCACTATTTTTTTTTCTTATTGCAAAAGATGGCATAGATAAAACCTGTATTCTAATTGAAGACAATAATTTGTGATCTTATTATGCACAGTACAGGGGAGGGGCCTAATTCATGGCTTTTTAGGAACCATGTATTCAGAATTTTATCGAACTTGAGTCTTAAAAATAACTTTTTTACTCCTCTCTATTTTACAGGTTGATGACGCGCAAGTTGTACGCTTCCTTCTCAGTTCTGAAATTCTTCCTTCTGTCCTACGTTGCATGGAGGTTGGCAATGAATTGTCAAAAACGGCAAGTACCTTGACTTGGAACAATCGCATATTTGACATTTTTTTTTCCATGTTGTATGCTTTCCTGCTGGTATCTTATTACTTGTTTATGCATGATTTCACAATTAAGGAAGATGAAATTGTAAGTATGAGTTCATTGACATAATTGAGTGAAAAGACATCAGAATCTGCATGCTATTTTCCATAGAAATATAATTCTACCAATTCAAACTCTACTGCTCTGATTGGCATGGTTTTCAAAATTCATTTGCTCCTTGTTATAAATGAATTTGAACTGTAAATTCTTTTATAATTCAAAATTTGGTTTAGTTATATTGAATTCCACAAAAGTTTTAGTTTTATGAGTAAATTAAATATTTTTATTAATGCTAAACATGAAAACATGTAATTGCAGAAGAATTCCATAAAATTTTATAGAATTTATTTATAATACCACCAAATGCAGCCTTAATCTATTTTTATATTTGGATATATATACAGGTAGCTACATTTATAGTCTACAGAATCCTACTAAACGATGAGGGACTGAAGTATTGTTCCGTTCTAGCAGACCGATTTTTTGCCATAGGGCATGTTTTAGCAAAAATGATTGAGAAGCTCGCCGAGGATGGAAGGATTGCAGAAGACCAATCTAAGCGACTGCTGAAACACATTATTTGGTGTTATCATAGGCTATCAGAAAGTCCAAGGTTAATTGAATATGATTGTAGCTTCACGTATTTGTTTGCACTTCGTACTTTATTATATCTTAGCATAAAATTAAACGCAGGGCATGCGATGGGCTAAGGTGTTGCCTTCCGATGAAGTTGAGAGATTCATCCTTCATTAATGTAATCCGCGTAAGTTCTCAACCACAAAAATCATTTTGAAATGTGTTTGAAAAACTCAACTAATTACTTGTTAATTTTATTATTTATTATCAACTATCCTTTCCAGGATGATCAAACAGCAATGCATTGCTTAGGTCAGTTATTTCACAATGTTGCGGCTGGACATCCGTCTACAACTCAAAAGGCTTTGCAGCCGGTAAGTCCATTACTCGGACACTTAATTGGAGGCTAGATTATGCAGAACACACATATACTGTACAAGGTACTAGGGGGAATAACAAAATGTACAGTTGGTATAGGTTATACACTCTCTGCTTTCTAGTGTTAAGCAAATGTACATTCCTTTACTTTATGTTAAAGGATATAGCTCTTTTCTTTATGAGCTAAACTAATGCATTTTCTTTATTTTGAATATGAAGGATAAGTTAATAATCACTACTTATAAGTTTTTTTTAACCTAAGCTAGTTTGTTTTTACAAATTTAATATTTGGATGCATATTTGAAATTTTTCCTACGAACAAAAGGTAGAAAGATTGTCTGTTATGCAGCATTTTTCTACAGTCGGTTTGGCATTTCCGGTGGACCTTTTTTGGTTTTTAAAAATCTTTGCTTTGCAGCTGTGTTTTGCAAATCATGGTTTGGGGGAAAGTATAAATTTTTAGCTTCTTCAAATGTTTATAGAAGCTGTAGAGAAGTTAAAATAATCAATAAAATGTCAGAAATGCAGGAAAAAAAAAAACGGTTTCTTTGGCTCCGTTTGTTTTCAACTTGGAAAATATTTTCCTAAAACAATATTTTCTAAATGACTTATATTCCATTGATCGGATGCAATATAGTTAAAAAATATTAAAATTTTTTAATTCATAAGACCATAAAAATAGTTATAATAATAGAAATTTTGTATTTTAAAAATTTTACTGTTAAACTAGTTATGTATCCGCACAATGCGCATACCATTTAATTTTATTTTTCAAATTAAATTGAACGTAATTATTTTTTGTAATTCTTGTTATTTATATTTTTATTGCTTTAATTTAAATAATTTGTTTATTTATTTTAATTAAAAATGACAAGTAAAATTATGAGTTTTTTTTTTAATTCTCAAGTAATGAACTAAATATTAATTAGTACAATTAATCATTGTATGTAAATTATTGTAATTCAACTGATATAGTTAATTATTTTTTCTCTTTAAAATTCTCATATATTCAAATTAGATGATGTATAAGAATATTTAATTTTAGTGAAATAAATTTTAGTGAATTGTAATTAATATTTTAATTCTATTTGTTAATGTAATTATACTATTTAACTTATTTCATTAATTATGATTCTATTATAACTCAATTATTTTTTTTATAGAAAAAAATATTTAATATTAAAACTCAATATTTATTAAATGTAAAATATATTAATTATAATGAAATCATCCATTAAATTTATTAGTTTGTAACTCCATTATTTCATAAAAAAATTATTTTTATTAAATAAAAAAATATTATTTATAATGAAAAAAGTAAAATGTCACATCATTAGCTTCATATTCTAACTAGGCGCGTAAATTACTGTATTAGTTTGTTATTATAAATTGTATTAGATATTACTTTTTATTGCACAAATAAAAATAAATATTTATAAAAAAATAAATCCTATAACTTCAAAGAAATAAAAAGAAGTAAAAAAAAATTATAAAAGATATATAGAGTAAATAAACACATATAATATAAATATAAACTAAAACAGAGTAAATAAACACATACAATATAAAGCCTTAAACAATAAGCATTACTTACAAATGAAGATATATAGAATTACAAATTTGAAAGACATATAAAAAAAATTCATCTATAAATAAAGATATATAGATGTAAAAGTAGATAATTATTCTAAATAAAGGACACAAAAAATTAAACAATTCAATCTAAAACTAAAAAATAAATAAATATTCAAATATAAATATAGTTAGTTATTTTAAATAAATAATAATTTTTAAACATAAAAAGTATTTTAAATGATCAAACAAAAATTAAAAATTTAAACTTGAAATATAGATATAGATTGTTATTGTAAAATTTAAGGCACCAAAAATAAACACAATTACAATCTAACTCAAAAAATAAACTAAATATTCCAAATATAAATATAGTTAGTTAGTTTTAATATAAATACATATTCTTCTCAAACATAATAAACATAAAAAGTATTTTAAATGATCAAACAAAAATTAAAAATTTAAACTTGAAATATAGATATAGATTGTTATTGTAAATAAATATTAATTTTTAGAATATAATTATTTGATATAAATAATAATAAAATTTAAATAATAAGAATATTATTTTAACTATAGGTAGGTGTAAATGGTCATTTTGCTATTTTGCTATATATATATAATAGATCAATAATAAATATAAATTTTATTTATATTTCTCTACGCAATTTTAGCGAAACTCTCACAAAAATCAAACACTCAAACATGCAATTTACTGACTTAACAAATTATAGAATAATATATATATTACATGAACTAAAAAATTATAAATAACTAAAATTTACATATATACAAATATGAAGCAATGAATAAAAAAAATTTACAGTTTTCTACTATCTACTAAAAATATAATAAATAAATTCATAAATGGATTAAGGGTTAGCTTTTCTGTTTCTTCATCTCCATCAACGTAATACTTCTTATACCTGCATAATAAGGAGAAGAGAAATCATATGATGAACAGAGAAAAAAAAAAAAGAGAAGATGACAAAACTTTTAAAAAAGTAAAAATCTAAAATATAAAAAAAGGAAAAAGATCAAAGAATTAACATTACTTCAATCGAGAAAAAAGAATTAACAATATTTGGATTGAAGTAAAAGAATTAACATTATCTAGATTTAAATTGCATAATAAAATACCACACATATGTACAAATAAAGAAAGCAATCAAAACTCGGAGAATTGAAAAAAAAAAAAGTACTAAATCATTGTGGAAGATAATCATTGGAAATGATTAATACAAAGGTATATATATAGGTAATAGATAAAAAAATTAAAAAATTAATTTCAAAATTCAAAAGTTTTAAAAGTTTTAATTTTAAAATTCAAAAGTTTTAAATTATTAATTATTTAAAATTTTAAATATATGTTAGATTAGATATTAGAGATAGGAAAATAAATATTTCAAAATTAATTAAAAAATTAGAAAATTTGTAAAAAAAGAAAAAAAAAAGGGAATCTTGAAAGAATAGAGTGCCATGCAAACTTCTTAAAACTTTTTTTTGCTTCGTGATTATATAGATATATAGATAGATATGTTGTGATATAAATATTTAAGCCTTAGAAATTATATATTTATATAGCTATAGATATAAATAGAAGAAAAAAAAAATACAAAAATGATAAATTACGAAAGTCCCCGTGTGGTAGCTTGTGGCGAACGGTGACTTGTTGTAATGACTACCAGTGATTAATAACTTAAAAAATATGCATTTTTAATATCAATTTTTAAAAAATATTTTCTTCTCTTTAAAATGGAAAGTCATTCTCCTTAAAAATGAATTAGTTTTTCTTTGATCAATAAACTATTTTATGAAAACTATTTTCCATTTTCTAAATACCCCAAACAATAAAAAATTATGAAAACTATTTTCCCTTTACGGATAAACGGAATCTTAGGCTCCGTTTATTTCCATAAAATAACTTACAGGAAAATAATTTTCACAATTTTCCGTTGTTTGAGGCGTTCAGGAAAATAAGTCAATAGAAAATATTTTCTTGGTCAAAGGGAAATTAAATCATTTTTTAAGGAAAATAACTTCTCATTTTCGAGAGAATAAATCATTTTCCGAACATTGATAAACCTTATAAATCCATATATTTTTTTAATTTATTAATCATCATAGTTACTACCATCAGTCACCATTTACCATCGACTACCACCACTGGCTACCGACAGCTTTTATAATATATATGTCATCAATCAGCTTAATGACCATCCAGTCACCATTTACCATCGACTACGCACCCCACTGGCTACCAGCAGTTTTATAATATAATAGTACTGTATATATATAGTTATTTGCAATGTCTTTTCCTCATATTTAAACTATAGACAAATTTTAAATTTAAATTTCTCTATTATTATTAATATTTTTATGATTTTTATGTAGATAAATTTAAATACTTTTTTATATTTAATTCTTTCAATATCTATAACAAAATAATGGAAATAGTGATAATTTCTATTATTATTAATATTTTTATGATTTTATGAGATAAAAACTTTAATATTTTTAATTAATTTTCAATATTATAACCAAATAATGGAAAATAAGTGATTTGGTAAATATTTTTGAAGAAAAGTATTTTTTTAGCGAACTATTTTCCTATAAATTACTTTACAGAAACAAACGGAGCATTAATAATTATTCTGGGAACAATCAATTATTAATCCCTCAGTTTTAGTCAAATGCACTACTCGGAACTTTTATTAAGTGTATAGACTCTGTGTTGAGTCTGTTACACTATTTAGTCCATTTGCTCAAAACTGATTCTGATTATTTACTCAAAACTGGAGTCCTTTGCTAGGATGACAATTACTAGTTTATAACTAATTAATTTAATTCATCCAAATTTAATTTTAATATGGTTAATTAATAATATATTAAAAATAAACTTTATAATTTGATTAATAAATTGCAAAATTAATTAATTTCTAACAATATTTAAATTCATCATTTCTAATAAAATATTTTATAATCTAATGAACAATGGCATAGAAAACATCTATTTAATCATATTTGATTCCAAAATGGTTAGTACTTGAAAATTCTCACCTGTGCCAAACCAAAATGAGTAATACAGGTTTGGGACGAGTGCAAATTTACCAGTGCTAACGCTCATGAATTAACCAATATTACATAAACTTAAAACTACAGTAAGATATTTAGGCTCTTTTTGTTCTTGTTATTTTGCTCTTGTTAACTAGTATCTTTGACAAATAGTCCAAACTCCAAAATTTTCTACCAAGAACAATGTAATGAGAGCAAAATATGACAACAAAGTAGTCGACTTTTTGAAAGACAGACAAAAGTAATTTTTCACAAAATACAAAGAAAATTATAAATTTTCGCTTATATAAAACATGAAATAATATTAAGATAAGCATTCCACAACACCACAATGCATGATCTCCTACATTATCACTTCAAGACAGCAGAGTTTACTTAGAAATTAAAGAAATGATCAGAAAAAAAAAACACCATATAGATTCTTTATAAAAGAAGAAAATAATAATAACAATAAAGAATATAGATATCAAAAATTAAAATTGTAATCTGGATCAAACAACATTATGTATCACAAGAACATCAGAAAGACAACTAAGTTAATCTTTAGAAAATGAATTAAATGGATCTGTCTTTTGTGGATCTTTTTTTTCTGGTATTGAGAGATCCCTCGCAAGCATAAAGGAGAGATCATGCATCTGTGACATCAATGTCTCAGCATCAAATATTGACTTTGCATTTTCATTGGAAACTTTTCCAATGTTTACTACTTCTTCGCTACTTCCTTCTTCTCTTTCTTTCATGCTAGCTATGCTGAAACATGCATTGGAAGATTATAAATGTTTTCATTCCAATGCAAGAATATCCAACTTAAGCTAGATGGGCAAAAGTAAACAAGCCAAAATCGTTTCCACTGAAGATTTTTTGAGTTAAATTGTGATTACGGAGAAGTCCAAATTAGTTATTGGAGAAAAAAGAAATGCAAATTCATGTGTGCATGCATAACAAAGGTTGATCATGTTAGAAACCAAGATGAATTGCAGGGTAAAGTAACTTTTATCCTATAATCACATCTATAAGTTGTGTATTGCCGGGCATATTTTCAATGTCTCGTGCATATAAAAATCTTCAACCAGGCTCTTGAAAATTATTAACTTCCATGTTCCAACATGATTTTCTTCATATCCAACCAAGTTACCATATTTTCTGAAAGGTTCTACATCACTTCTTTCCATCCATCTTAAAGAAGAAAACAATCTAAAAATTTGATCCAAGTTTAAATTGTGACAATCATTTCTCTTCATAGATTAGATGTACATCAATATTAGTATCCATTAGGCTACAGGGGTTTCAAGCCAAAGCACACCAGATAGTAAGGAGGATTATATTTTCATGTATATATTATATATATATATATATATATAAGGAGCTGCTAACTTGCCAGATATTGAGGCAAGTGAGCTATGTAACCCATTTGGACAAAAAATATCCTTTAGTTTTCTTTCTTTACATGAAAAAAAAAAAAAAAAACTCAAAAAAGAATGCTAAGATCCATCTCTCCTATCTCTTTTTCTTTGATTTCTACTGCAAAATCCACTCTCGAAAATTTACCACCAGAAGCTATATAAAAGTGTAAACATCAACCACCCATTAGACTTCAAACTCACAGTTAATGCAACCTCCTTTCCAAATATCAATCACAAAATATTATGGTTACACATTTGCAACTATCTTCTCAATCTAGTACGAAAGTTTATTAATTCATTATGGCTTCAATGTCTTCTTTTTCCTTTCCCACAAATTCATCTCATCTCAAAAAGAATTGGATGGGAAAAAATCAAGACTTATAGAAAAATGATCATATAAAGTTTTTGTAACAAAAAAGAGAATCTCAATACTTCAAGGAGAAAAAAAGACTGGAATTTGATGCCTAGATCCAAGCAATCACTGACATGAGAATCAGTTTCCTTTCTGGTATATGAATCAGTTAACAACTGTCTGTTGATTTTTGCAGTAGAAATAAAAATAAATAAATAAAAAAGGGAAGGAGATATAGGAGAGATGGAAGCTATCCCTGACTATTTTTCATGTAAAGAATGAAAGCCAAGGATGTTATTTCCAAATTGGACATATTGCTAAGTTGCCGCAATGGCCAGCAAGTTATCTATATATGATTTTAAACAATATTTCGTAATCATTAAATTTGTTAACATACCACTCCAGGTCTTCAAAATTTAAAAAGAAAAATAGGATTATTTCTTCCTTGCTCTCTCCCTCATCTTATATCACACCCTTTGTTATTTTATATGCATAAAATATATTCCTTTGGCAAAAATTTTCTCTAGGCTGACCACAATTCATGCCAACATTAAAGTGGATACACATGATTGAGAAAATAAAAAAAAGAATTAGCATAATAAATGCAGAGACCAAACCTTTGCATTCTTCCACCAGAAAAAAAAAAGGAAAGAAAAAGAAAAAAAGAAAAAAAAAGAAAAAGGGGCAGCACAGAGAAAAAATATCTAATAGCCTAAGCATGATGCTTTTATGGGGATGATATGGTAGACAAGCATTGCAAAGTTAGTAATGCAATGTGGTTACCAAAATAGAGTAGTCTAAACTTGTGAAATCAAAGCACCACAAAATAGAGCAATCTAAACATGTGAAATCAAAGCACCACTTATCTGAAGAAGCATGGCAGTCAAAGTGTACATACCTATCTGAAACAGAATCTGGTACCATAGTACTCACTTCTGCAGATCCATTTTGATTGTTAGAAGTTGCTGAAAAAAAATCTGGCTGCGAAAAGCTATCAAAATCAACATCCTTTGAGTTATCAGTTCCACTGAACAAACTTTCTGATGCCCGCTCAACAGAGGACACTGCGCGATTAACATCTTGTTGCAAAGTATTACTATAAGCAACTTGTACACTACTTGAACTTGTAAATTCATTCCAAGCATCAAATGTATCATCTTCTTCATCAATGGTCCTATTATCAGTTGCTTTGCTACTGCTGGTGGCAGTTTGCCATTGACTGTCTTGAATCCAATCAATACTTGTGGAAGAAGAAGTAACTGTGTTCTCTATAATTCTATGATCCTTATCATTCATGGGCACTAAAATCTCATCATGCCGGACAGCTACCCCAGCATTGGGATTACTCCATAGATCACCTTCAAACCAGTCATTCCTGTTGGATGCAGTAGTTATATTTTCCTTTGTTTTTTCATTAAATAAATCTTTTCCAGATCCAAAGACCGCATCCATATGGGAAGAAAGATCAATGGAAGATGATCCCACAAAGGGATCAGATAAATTAGGTTTCTGTAGTTGGGTTCCAGAACTAGCTGATTGAAAATCAGCCTCCCAACCAGAGAAGGAGTTGCTGCTTTCATCTTCCTTGGACATTGCAGCAACTGTCTCAAAAGGCTGGACATTTTCAAACAAGTTAAGATTCCTGTGACCTTCAGAGACATTACTTCCAGTAGCATCTTCTGTTTTGTTTACTGCAAAATGTTCCTCAGTAGCTGCAGAAACAGAATCTACCTTTGCTTCAGTAAAAGAGTTGTTGAGATTAACTCCTGAAAAATTCAGAGTACTCAAATGCCGGGCAGGATTCTTTTCAACAAAACCAGTCTCAAATCTCTCAGGCTCAGTAGGCCATCTTATTTCTAAATCTAAAAGATCAGATAAAGGGAACTCAATTTCCGGTGTATTCTGTCCTCTGTTAGATTCGTTTGCTTCAATTGACGGTGCCACAAGCTCCTGCAAAACGGTGTGGTGCTTCACCAAATATGTTCTTTTGTTGGGAATCCCAAAGAAGGGCAATAACAAAGAAGGAAAAAGAAATAATCTTTGGCATATAATGAAACTAAAAAATGCCAAATCTTCTACAAAAATATTTTTAAAAGAAAAAAAAAAAGAAAAGAAAAGAAAAGGAGAAACAGAAAAATCACACTCACACTGGAGCTTCAAGAAAATCTCAAATGCACCAATCGAAAACCAAAACTCTCACTCAAACTCGAAAAGATGCCAAAGGAAGCTTCTCATTAAGCACCAAATCGGTAGAAAGTTTAAATCTTGCTGATTATGGACTAGGACTTGTAATGTAAATTTCATGAATCAAAATCCAGTCCAATACAGTACATCTTAAATCAGCTTCTAAAGCGTCTCTCTTCAATGTCACCCTTTCTATTTTTAGCAAAAACCAAACAAGCAAGCATACAGATTATCACTATACTATTGTGATCATTACGCTAAAATACTACATTCCTACAAAACTAGAGAAATGAATATAAAAAAATTCAAATTTTCACCAATAGAAAAAACCCAAAAAGAATCAATAATAAAAAATAAAAAAAAGGAAAACAGTCTCACAGGCCATTAAGAAAATTCGAAAATTTTACCCTTACCGATCCATCCAAGTCAAGAGACTGAAGAAACCAACGGCAACCAAAAGTAGAAGTAAACTTGATCGGGTCAGGAGGAGCATCTTTGTTCTGTTGTCTACCGCAAAACACACATATTCCCGAATTGATGCCTCTTAGAAGCCTGCCTTTACAGTGCTTGCATCGAAGATATGCAGGAGAAGGGTCAAGCTCGGAAATTGCGTCTTTAAGCGAGGGCAAATCTGGAAGTTCGGAGACGTCTGGGTTATAGGACGCGAAACCGGCCTCCTTACGTAATGAGATCTGGAGTTCTCTAATCTGGTCATATGGTATCTCGAACGCCATTTTTGTTCGATGTGAAGGTTTTTCTTAGAACCAGAGCTTCGCTGGCCTTGTCTTGTCGATCTAGATCATTAATTACCAGATTTCGCATCACTCAAATTTCGCATCACTCAAAACTGCACCGATCTTTACCGTTTATGTGCATCATCATTCATCGTTTCATCAATTGCCATCAAATGCCACGGTGTCCACGTAAGCATTAACCTGTCCCAAAGCCTTCCGAGCTCCAACTATCTGTGTCCAGCCCATTAATATCACTAACCCATTTGTCACAAACATCCAGGCCCATTGCAAATTACGTTGACGAGAACTTAACCTCTCGTCAATCTCGTCTAATACCAGCTCATACAACAAGCCCACTAAATAATCCAAAACCGAAAGTTTCCCATGAAGCCACCAACAAGACATAACTTTACCTTTTAACATGGATACTCAGATTAACCGAGAAATAATCCGTGTTAATCCAAATCCACACTCACCTCTAAATAGGGATTGCTGCGGTTCGGATAACCTTTAAAATGCATTGTTTGACCCGAATCTGATATAAATTAGACATCGGACTCCATTTAAAAATTAACTTTTATTACTTAATTCATCTAGTACTCAATTATAATTATATGTTTAAATACTCGAATCTATTAGAACTCAATTATAATTATATGTTTAAATTCTCGAATCTATTTAAATACCATTTAACAGGTAAAAATAAAAGTAAATGAAAAATTATAAAATTATACTTTGACTAAAAAATATAATATTAATATTAAATATAACCATAGCATCAATTACAATTAAAAAGTATACGTGTATAATTTTCTTTTGAGAAAATAATGATTTTAAATATTTTTAAAATATTAATTGAATTAGTAACGGACGGTGGAAATCCAAACCCTTAAATCCAAATAAAAATACTACACGAATCTATCCCAAATTCATTAAAAACATGTTTCTTCACTATCTAAATCGCTAAAATCGAATCATATCAGACTAAGTACCTGCCTTGTCGGGTAAAATTTTCACCTCTATCTCCAAATAATTAAAGGGTCTTGAAGCACAATTCAGAAAATAACCTAGGCAATCTTCCTCTCGTTAAACATTCAAGATCCACTTAAACTCGAGAAAAAAATAACCATCCGATCTCCTCGTATGCGTACTAAAAGATTCAAAATTAATCTTTCTAAAAGCAAACCATTTGATTGTTTGGTAAAACTAGTCTGCGAACTTCAAAACCTAAATTTTAAATTTCTATCTTTGACAATTAAGGTAGTCTCTTCAAAGTATATGAGAATAACAAATCCTATACATTTGAAATAAAATCCCATCAAATGTTAGAAGGTTAAAACGCTTTGTTTCACTCATTATGGGTTTATCTATTCTGGACTAGCTTAGCCAATTTACTATTAGAAATGAATATCCTCAACAAGAAATAATAAGATATTTTTATAAACCATCGATCATAATATTTCTGATCTAATTCCTCCATTGAAGATCCTGGTCTTAGTTAGGGTCATGGTTTATTACAAATCCTAATTGCTTAGACGCTAATGTCCTTATTTTAATTGTAATTCTTGACAAAAGATTCCCACTAGAAACTCATTTTCTGGTGAATCTATCTGCCTCGACCAAGGTCTTCTATCAAGAAAGACTAAGTGGTAAGTCTTCTATCAAGAAAGACAGTGGTAATAAGAGCTCATCCTTATCTACTCAAGGTATGAATCTTACCTTGGTACCTCCTGCGTACAATTGACTAGGACCATCACATGTCCATATACACATATTTAGTACATGTATAAAAGCATTAGCAAATCCTAACAACATATATGTGAGTTATAGTGTGACCTCAGGTCTAAGGTTCATTTACAATTATGACCTAAATGTTCAACCGTTGACAAGAGTACCTCTTATGGTTGTCATCTAGTACTACATGTTTCTCTTACTGACTCCATGCCCACTACCTCCATCCCATTAGTATCACATACTAATAATGGAGACAAACAAAGGTGATGGTCTTTCAGAGAATTGGCGGCCAATAAATTGTCTTATAATTATGAGCATTTATATATATATAAAATGGCATTAGAGATATACATATAAATATATACATGTACATATTACGGGTATGACTCTAGGCGATACCTTAATTTTAATAGATGGAACTCTTTCGATTTTTATCTTTAATATTAATGGATTAATTTAACATTTAAATGTCATAACCTTTTATCATATATATACTAGGGAAGCATGCATATGCTTCCTTCTCAATCTTGTGTAAGGTTATTTTATATTACTCCATGAAATGCTTTGAAGTAGTCTTGAGTTGACGAATTCATCATAAAAATGAATTCATGTTTTCATTTCTTTGGGTTAACGGTATTTCCCTAAAAAATTCTTCCTCACATACATTGATACCAATGGGTCAATATTACCTCTCACGTTACAAATCTTTCAATTAGCTCTGCTTATGCATCTCAAACCTCTCCAACATTATCGCTCTTCAATAAAAGCACAATCATAAAAAAATAAAAAAAATAAAACCATTACGAAAGCTTCCTTAATATTATAGTACTTCTTAAAACTCTTCATTTTCTTGGAAAATTTTGATAGTATGTGCCAAAGGCATTATTTTTGCTGAACATCAAAAAATACTTCCTCTATAGCTTTATTATAATGGAGGGATATTACCCATACAACTTAGCCATCGTATGAATACCTATTTACACTACAAAATTCACAAAGTAACTATGGGCCCACTGTTAATTTTAACAAATCTGTAGCTAATCGCATATTGTCACGGAAAATTTTCTTCCGTAAAATGCTTGTGGCGAAAAATATGGCTACATATTTGTAGTTCGAGGCTAATTTAGTCACATAATAGCCGAAATTACATAGCAATGATGAATCCAATCCGTTTTCAGAAGGTGTAGCTGATTTGTAGCTAAATATTCTATCACTATATCATGGCAATTTTGTAGAATTTATTTAATAAGAATACACAATAAGCGGAAGCGTACCTTGATCCATAGCTATTGATTACCTCGTTGCGGCAATTTGATTTTCACCGTAACAGTAGATCTATGTTTCTTCAGAATACACAGATAACGGAAGCGTACCTTGATCCATAGCTATTGATTCCTCGTTGCGGCAATTTGATTTTCACCGTAACAGTAGATCTATGTTTCTTCACTCTGGCTCCGTGAGTTTCTCTTCTTATGGTCAGAGATTTTTATCAATAGCAACGGGAAGGTTCCTTTTCATGTTTCTTCCCTCAAACAACTATCACCATTGTGTGTTTGAGGTAGCCGCCACACTCTCATAAGTTTTATGCTGTTGATTGTCCTTGATCTTTTTGTTGATTTCCTTGATCTTTTATAAGGCAGAGGAAGGGTATTAAAATCCTAACTGGTCCTCATCTCATTAAGCCCAATAACCATCATCTTGAGCCACCTTAATTAGAACTAGCCGTTTAATTACATGGGTCACTCAGATTAAAATAATCTAATAATCTCCCACTTGGCTCATGTGCATTTCTTGAATTTATCATGTTAACCTTAATTACAATTAAAGTGATCGGATTATAGCGGTCACAAGTCATTAATCGACATGATTCCTTCCATATATCACAGACCATCTCAATTCATAAAAACTTTAATCGAGAAACGATTTAACAAACAATACATTGTTACAATCAACGTTATTGTTATCTCACTCAAATCATTATTGTATACATCTATAATGTGGATAACACATAAATAAGGCAAAAAGCATGATTTTAATTGAATTCCAAGTGTCAATAATAATATGAGCCAAAATTAACCATATGTATATATTATATATATATATATATATATATATACAAGTTTGAACATCATCAACAAGGACTTTATCTATAAGCCCAATCCTATCAACATGGGCCAGGAAGATTTGGGCGGTAAGCCTTTTGTTAGCGGATCCGATATCAATCAGATCAGTTACTGATATGCTCAATTGAAACCACCTTGGTTTTTTGCATCTTCTTCTTTTACAGATAGGTACTTTAAATTTCCGTGTGCTTTGCACCTTAGAATACCTAAACGTTATTAAGAGAATGAAAACATGCTGCATGAATTATCACGAGTAAAACCCTTAGAATACCTATCGTTCTTAGAGAAGAAAACAGCTGCAGAATTATCACAGTAAATTCTCAATGGTCTAGCTATACTGTCGACAATGCCTAGCCCTGAGACAAAGTTTCGCAACCACAATGCGTGAACAGTGGCCTCAAAGCATGCCACAAATTCAACCTCTATTGTGGAAGTAGCAATGACAGACTACTTTCCACTTTTCCATGAAACTGCTCCTCCAGCCAGGACAAACATGTAGCCAAATGTAGATTTTCTCGAATCTACATAACCGGCATAGTCTGAATCTGAGTATCACACTACTTCTAAATGGCTGGACTTTCTATAGGTGAGTATATGATCCGTAGTGCCTTGTAAATACCTAAGTAATTTCTTTGCAGCCTTCCAATGGTCCATCTGAGGATTACTTTGATATCGCCCTAATATTCCGACGGCGAAACTAACATTCGGTCGAGTACATATTTGAACATACATTAAGCTCCAAAGTACTGATGCATGGGGAATAGACTCCATCTCTTTACGTTCCAAATCATCCTTAGGACATTGCATTTCGCTGAACCTATCTCCTTTCTGAATGGAAACTATTCCTCTGGAGCATTTTTCCATTCTAAATCTCTTTAATACCTTGTTAATGTAAGCTCTTTGAGACAATCCTAACAATCCTTGTGATCTATTACAGAATATTTTTATTCCTATCACATAGGACGCCACACCCATATCTTTCATTTCAAAGTTCTTAGGGAGAAAACCCTTTAAATCATGTAACAATCCAACATCATTCACAGCAAGAAGAATGTCATCAACATATAAGACTAACATAATGAACTTGCTCCCACTGATCTTCATATAAATAAATTGATCAACAGTGTTTTCTATAAATCCATATGAAGTGATGATATTATTGAATTTAAGATACCATTGACAGGAAGCTTGCTTCAGTCCATATATTGATTTCTTCAACTTACACACCATATTTTCCTTTCCTATGATCACAAATCCCTCTAGTTGGTCCATATATACTTCCTGCTGTAAG